AGTTAATAAGATTTGGGCTTCTGCTGTCCCACAAAATGATCACGGCCCTGTACAGACTGAATAGCACAGTAGCACTTGCTACAGGCCCTGCAGAGAATGAGACTCTTTGCACAGGATTACTTTGAACAGCTCTCTAGCAGGCAGCTAGCTTTTTTGCAGGCTGGTCCCGTGACAGGCTTATCTTTCTTCTGAGTCTATGGGGTTTGGGCATTAAACAAACTCCCATTTTCACCCTGGAAGGGGGAGGGCGAGTGCTAAAGAATCACATTCTCTGGCTCAAAGCCAGGAGACAATCCCATTTTCTTATACTGACCCCAAGTTATTTCAAATACTTTTTCCTCAATGGAAAATTCAGAAACCAACTCCCCTTCTGAAGATCTGCCCAAGGGTTTTTCCGCACCCCCCCCCCAATCTGATTTGCTGTCCTCTGAAAAGGTGGCCGAGTTGTAAACCCGTGTGCAGTTACCAGGAGCTATTTAAAACTAGACTGAACTGGACAAGATGCTAACCATTTACTAGAGAACGGACAATCTCCTACAGATTTGGATAGAGTGGGGAAAACAGGTGTTTCCTCTTGTCCAGGTCTATAAATAGGAATATGCCACAAACAATAAAAAAGTGTGTTTCTGTAACTCCGCAGAAACGTTCCAACCTGCCCTGTTTGTCAACAGAGAAACCTGCCTCTCATTGAAATGCTCCTGCAGCCTATGGAGTGATTCAAAGATAATTGGGTGACTGCAGGTAAGTCACCTCCAGACAGGAAGGTATAAAAGATACCTGAGTAACAGAGGCAGGGCCACTCATACACAGACACAGGGAACTGCCAGAGATCACTCAACCTTCCCTTACCTGGACGCTTTTCAAGAAACTACCAGGAAACTCAAATACTGACGGCTTACAAATAAAAGGGTCTATCCTCAGTGGAGGAGACTGTTCGAGGACAGAGGACAAGACTCTGAATATGCTTTTCTTCTGCTAAAACTGCACCCTGTACAGGTAATTATAGACTTTAAAAAAACCCTTTTCTACATCTCATAACTGTGTGCATCAGTTGTTGCAAGTTAAGCATTGCTAGGGAATCGTATTGTAGAGCGTAAATGGGGGGCTGTGTTTTCTTTGTCGTAGTTTTATGGGGACTTTCTTAGTCGTTGGATCACTTCAGCCTTTTTTTTTTTTTCGTGCAGCCTCAAATAGCA